AGAGGGGGAACTAACACCTAGGCTGATGAAGAAAAGGCTCTTGGGGCAGCTAGGTAGTGCAGTGGATAGAGCACTGGCCCTGAAGTCAGGAGGACCTGAGTTCAAATCCGGCCTCAGACCAAACACTTGACACTTACTAGGAGTGTGACCCTGGGCAAGTCACTTAACCCCAATTGCCTAAAAAAAAAAAAAGGCTCTTATAAAAAGCACCTGAACTGATCCTTGAAGCAAACTCCTGTGGGGGAAAAAAGAATAGTGAGAAGGATAATAGGATCATTAATTTTGCCTTGAAAGAAACCTTAGAAGTTTTCTAGTCTCATCTTCTCATTTTACAGATGAAGAAACTGAGGTACAAGGAGATTGATTGACTTGCTCAGGGTTACCAAGGTAGTAGCAGAGCCGGTAGATGGGCTCAAGACTCTGGGATCAGGGCTCAAAGCCTGATGGGGAAACATTCCCATGTGGGTAGCCTCACCAGGCAGTGGCATTGAGCTCGGGTGACCAGCCAAGTGTCTGGCAGCTCCCCTGAGGGCCAGGTACCTGACACCTGTGAGCTGTGGAGAGAAGACAATATGAGCTGTGTCCTGCCCCATCCTGCTAAGGGGAAACAGGCTGTGCTCTGTGTGCTGGGCCAGGAAACGGGCCACTTGAGCAGGCCTCTTTTGTCTGGCTGTGAGAAACTCTCGCCTTCAGCCAGAACTGCGTGGCAGGTAAGGCGTATCAGCAGGGGCTGCTGAAGCTGAGCAGGGTGTCTTCCCCACAACTGGGGACTCCTAGGTCTGAATGCCAGCTTTCTAGGCCAGTTCCTTGCCCAGTTCCCCAGTTTTTCTTTTGCTAGCAGCAGTCAGATGCAGTGGCCTGGTTCACCTCACTGGGATGCACACCCCCTGTGTGCCCTCTCCTTGGCTTGAGGGTCCTGGGTCCCTGGTCCTGGACCTGACCCCAGGCTCTCCACCTGCTCCTAGTCCTAGGTTTGATAACTTTTGGAGTGAAGACCACAGTCTATAGGATTTCTGCAGAGTTGAGAAAAGGTCAAGCAAATAAAGCTACTCCATTGTGGTGACTTCTAGTGGGATATAAACTCTTTGAGGGCAGCACTGTCCACTTTTGTACAGTACCTAGGGCATGTTTATTGACAGTTTCCCCTAAGCCTAAGGCAGGGTTCTGGGAGCTGGACTACAGCCCAACTCAGCCTTCTGTAGCTCCTGCCTTTCTAAGGATTAGACGAGTCCCGGAGACTTTGCAGGCTCAAGTGGTTATTCCATCAGACAACCACTTAAAACTGAGGAATGAATGAGTGAGAAATTATTAAGAGCTTGCTATGTGCCTAACCCTGTGCTAAGCACTGGAGACAGATACAGAAAGGGGATCTTCCCTGACTTTAAGAAGCTTGCATTCTGATTAAAGGAGACAATGGGTATTGAGGAATGGTGGCCAGGGAAGGGGAGTTTGGTTTGCAAAGTCATGGCAATGGTGAGTGGAGCTCTAGGAAAGCTGAAGGAGCCTAATCTGCCCTGGTCAGACCTCATTCTGGTGTGCTGTATTCTGTTTTGGATACTACTTTTTGATACATTGATCAACTGCAGTGTGCCCATACTGGAGTAACCAAATTGAAGAGCCCTTCTTATGCAAAAATCACTTTAAAGAATTGGGAATTTTAGAAAAGAGAACATGGGGTGTGAGGGGAGGACGAGAGCTAAGTTTTTGAAGGACTGTTTTATGAAAGAGGGATTGGCCTTGTTCTACTTCACCTCAGAGCAGAATTAGAACCACGGATGAAAGTTGTAGAGGCAGATTTGAGTTCAGGGAAGCGAGGTGGCATAGTGGAAAGAGCACTGGGCTTGGAACCAGGAAGACCTTCCTGAGTGCCTCAGACGCTTATTAGCTGAGTGACCCTGGGCAAGTCACTTAGTCCTATTTGCCTCAAATTTCCTCATCTGTAAAATGACCGGGAGAAGGAATCAGCAAATCACTCCAATGTCTTTGCCAAGAAAGCCCCAGATGGGGTCTTGAAGAGCGGGACATGACTGAACAACAACACAAATATTTTAGTTCAACCTTAGGAAAAAACTTCCAAACAAAGTGAAATCACAAGATAGTTAATTAACTTTTCTCTGTGTGTGTGTGTGTGTGTGTGTGTGTGTGTGTGTGTGTGGCAATTGGTGTTGAGTGACTTGCCCAGGGTCACACAGCTAGTATGTGTCATGTGTCTGAGGCCAGATTTAAACTCAGGTCCTCCTGACTCCAGGGCTGTTACTCTATCCACTGCACCACCTAGCTGCCCCCATTAATTAACTTCTTAACAAAATACTAATCTGCTGTGGACTCTATCACTGAAAGTGTTTATTTTGGTGGGGATGTTATAGTGTGGTCTTCTGCATGGGATGAAAGGTTCGGCTAGAGTGGTGCTGTCAAACTCAAGTCGAAGCAGAACCCTTCAGTATGTCTATTGACTTAGGAAACCACAAGTGACATTATCTGTGTTGTGTTGTACTTTGTTTTGTTAAACATTTCCCAATTACATTTTAAGATGGTAATTGGCAAAAAGGGAGTTTTGCTGGCACTTGTGGCCTGTGGGCCTGGAGTTTGACACCTCCCTAAATGACCTCCCTTCCAGTTCTTATCCCTCTTCTTTCTCCTTAGGCCAGATGGATTCCTTTCCCTTTCTTTTCAAAAGTCACAGATTTCCCCACTGCCAATTTTAGCTAACAAGACTCTCCTCTACTTTACCCCTCCACCCCAAGCTTTCTTCCCTGTTTTCCTTATTCCCCAAGCAGATAAGCATTCTCCATTTTCAGTATCCTTTCCTTTAAAGGGCTCTTCACCCCCTGAAAGGCTGGGGTGGGCCTAGCTTTTTATTGAAGCACTATGCTCAGAGAAGAGACTAGTGGCATGTGACAAGAGGCAGGAGGATTATGGGAAATAGGGTGGGAAGAGACTCCTGTCGCCATTACTGCCACCAAGGAAAGTAGGGCTGAGCAAGAGGAGGCCCTGAAGAATCAGGGTGTGGATCAGAGTTCTGATCCTGCCTTTGCTGCCTGGGAGGCCTGGGAAGGGTTGGGGAGTATTAGGTCAGTCCAGGAAGGAAACTTGTAGAGATGTCTGTGATATGTGGTCCTGTTCCATGTTTGCGTCCCTTCTTTTGGGATGAGTGGTCTCTGGCTACTGTCCTCCTGGGATTCTATACCTCAATACATCCTTCTGTCCTGTCCCGTCTTTTAACCAAAGTCCCAACCTGGCTTGCCCATGGCCCTGGCACTGTTGGCACGGCATGGTTACATGTATCTGCATGTGTGTCTGCATTTGTGTTCTTACATGCATGTCCACAACAATACATACATAATATCAATACCAAATGCCATGTGTTCCCATTGATACCTACATGTATGTTCATGTCATGTGTTTATCTGTAGAAACTGTCATATTGTATGCCTATCCAAGCCATGAGTTCACCTCCATGATGTTTTGTGTCCATATATATATCTACATTTGTGTGTTAGTATTGTTGGTCTGTCTTGTTTCCCCTTTAGACGGAAAGCACAGTGCCTTGTGCCACCGGGCTCTCAGTGGATATGGCTGATGTGACGGTTGGTGAGATTAGCCTCTTGTAAATGGGGGCAGGGAGCCCAATCTTGGTGCTAGCTCCTGCTTCAGTGAATCCTTCCTTAAGGAAGCAGAAGCTGGGACAGCTAGGGGAGCATCCAGGGTGTGGCGCAAGGGGCTGCTGGAGCTGTCAGGGCTCAGGGACTTAGTCTGAGCAAAACCAAGGGAGGCAGCCTTGGGGGAGGACTGGAAAGAGTTCTGGTGTGGGAATCAGGAGTCCCCGTTCTACTCACATATCTGGCACTAACTCAATGTGTGCGTGATGTATCTGACAAATTACTTCTCACTGGGCTTCAGTTTTCTTATCTGTAAAATGTCTCTGTGTGTGTGTGTGTGTGTGTGTGTGTGTGTGTGTGTGTGTATGTGCATTGGTGCGGGGGAAGGAATTGGACAAAGTGATCTCTAAGATGCCTTCTGATTTGAAAATTTTTCCTTAGGAGTCAAAAGTCCTGGGCTCTAGTCCTTGTTCTACTATTGACTCATTGTATTGTATCATTTAATCTAAGCCTTAGTTTCCCCCATCTATAAAATCGGGAGAGTTGGATTAGATCGGGGGAAAGGGAACAGTCCCAAAGGAGGATTGTCTTTAAATACGTTTCCCAGGCTGAGGCAGCAGGGGCCTCCTCCGCCCAGGGCACACTCAGCCCGAGGGTAAGCCAGGGGCCCTGTCCAAGGCCTGAAGGGGTGAGAGGAGGTGAGGCAGCCATGCCAGGCGGTGGCCCCAGCGAGAGGATGACCTGGCCAGGGCCGGCCCTGCCCCCGGCCGTCCCAACCCGCCCTTTCTCCTCAGCCGCGGCACCCATCCCGCCCCTCACCAGGACCCGCAGCCTCATGGCCATGTCCCTGCCTGGGAGCAGAAGGCCCTCCACTGGATCTCGCAGGTAAGTTACCCCTTCCTCCCTATGCCCTGCAGACTTGGGAGCTGAGAGGGAGGGCCTTGTATGAATCTTTACTAGTGCTGGCCTCTGGTCCCCATCCCCACCCCCAGGCTGAATGGGGCCGTTCTACTATGGACTTGTTACGTGACCTTGGTGATGTCCCCATCTGTCAGATTAAGGGATTACATTAGGTGATCTTCATGGCCCCTTCCGGTTCTAAAATATTAGGGTCTCATTTCAGCTGACTCCAGTCCTAGCTCTGTCTCTTTTGTCTTTTTCTGTCTCTGTCTCTTTTGTCCCCTGTTTCTAACTCTCCAACCTCTCTCTGTATCTCCCCATCTCTGTCTCTCTACCGTTTCTGCCTTCTGTCTCCTTCCTTCATTCTCCGCCCCTCTGTTTCCCTTCCTCCCTTTCCCTCCTCTGTCTCTCCTGTTTGTTTTCTACCTCTTGGTCTCTCCTTCCTCATCTCTCCCTCACTGACTCTGTTTGTTTCTCTCTCTGTCTCTCTCCTTCTATCTCCCCCCCATTTCTCCCTCTCTACCTCCCCTCCCTCCCTTTCTCTTCCCTGCCCCACTCTCTCTGTATTTGTTCTCTTCTCTCTGTCTCCTGCTTCCATCTTTTTCTATATCTCTTTCTTCTCTGTCTCCTTCCCCTCCTTCTCTCCTACTGCTCCCCCTCTTTGTCTTTCTCCCTTTCTGTTTCTCTCCCTCTCTTTTTCTCTTTCTGTTCCACCCTCCCCAACTAAAGCTAGAGTGAATGTTGGCCTGGTGATCACGTGTAAATTCACATCTGGTTCCTCTGGATTACAAAACATAGAGCACCTAGAAGGGGCCTTAGAGATCCCCAGGCTGAAAGAAAGCAGGCCTGACTAAATAAGGTGACCTGAGTTTGAGTCCTAGCTCTGCACTGGATTCACTGTGTGACCTTGGATGGCACATCCTCTCTCTGGGTCTTAATTTTCCCCATCTGTGAAATGGAGGAGTTGGATTAAATGTTGATGATAATAATAGTAATAACTGCTATTTATATGACACTGAAGGGTTGACAGAATGCCTTACATACATTATTTCAATCGATCCTCACAATTCTGTTGGGTTGATAGTATGAGTATCATTAATATTCCCATCTTACAGATGGGGAACCAGAGGCCCCGAAAGAAGCAGACCCTTAACTAATGTCATGTGGCTAAATGAAATATTGGATGTGAAAATGCTTTGAAATGACTAAAGTAGCACATAGCTGTGAGGGCTGCATTGTCACTGGAGGGTAGTCCTGTCTTTGGCTTATAATAACTAGGTCTCCATAGACATATTATCTTCTTGTCTCCTTTCCCACACCACACACACACAGACACACACACACACACACACACACACAGCCTTGTTTATGTTTTCTTCTTCCTCTTTTTCTGCTTCCCTTATCATAGGAATCTCTTACTGGGCTCTTGGCCTTGTTAGGGAGCTCTTTTCTCACCTCTGAGGGGACATTGGATGTTGGGAACCATTCTTATCAGTGACTTCGAGCAGAATACCACTCAATTACTCTGGAGACATGTTTTCTTGCTCTGCCATTTATTGGCTGTGTGACCTTGGGCATGTCACTTCTCTCCGAGCCACAGTTTCCCCATTGGAAAAATGAGAGGGTTGGATTAGATGATCCCTAAAGCTCTTCTAAGTGCTGACATACCACAGCCTCTCTATGTTTCTGTGATGGGAACAAGATAGGGCTGGCTTTGCGTAAGGAGGAATAGTCTTGGGGGAACTATGAGGCCTGCCCTCTGCTTTGTCTTCCACCTTGACTTCGATTTCCACTGTCTGTTCTGTTGCCCCTGTCTATATATCCTCCATGATCGCCCCACAGCCGGGGGCTATATGGACGAAATGGGCTGGCCGTGTTCTCTCAATGTTCACCATCCTCTGACACCCAGCTTGGGCCTCCACCTCTTCTTCCTGCCTCCAGGCGTACCTCACCCCCTGTCAGCATGCGGGATACCTATGGTACCTCCTCACTCAGCAGCAGCAGCAACTCTGGCTCCTATAAGGGCAGTGACAGCAGCCCCACGCCAAGGTAACTGCCCCCTCCTCATTGTCCCTTCCTCATCCTGGGCCTTGACACCCTGGGTGTGGGTAGCCTAGCCTTCTCTTCATTCATCTACCACTATGCAGCTATGTGACCCTGGGCACGTCCTTTCCTCTCTCTGAGCCTTTATTTCTCTTTCTGTAAAATGGGGATAATAGTGCCCTCTCTAGAGGGCTATGGAAGCTCAAATTAAATAATTGTTACACAGTAGAGAAGATTGGTTTCTTAAGAAAAGCAGAGCCAAGAAAACTTAGAGCCAGGTGACATGAGGTCCTGGGTTGAGGGGATCATTTGGGGGTGAGTATTGGGTAACTTGGAGAGGCTCATTCTCTTGTGCATCATACACATGGGCCCCTGCCCCTTCCCCTGGTGGGGTTGGAACCCTGAGCCAGGCATGAGAACATGTTATCCATGGACTGTTGGGCACAAGCTTATTGGCATCCACATACCTACCCTCCCCCATCACCTTGATTGGCATTGAGGTGTTGGGGCCAGGTGTCCAGAGCCAGCTGATTCATGTGTACATGTACCTGTAAACTGTGTGTATATGTGCATCTCAGTATACATGCATACATGTGTGTGAATGGGTAGGTGTGTGTGAGCTATGTGTACATCTCTTTATACGTGTTTATTTGTGCATGTTTGTGCATGTGTCTGTATGCATGTGAATAGGTATGTGTATGTGGAGGTATAATCAGGTGAGTTTGTGCACATGCGTATGTTATGAGAGGGGCATAGGCAAAGAATTATGACGAAGGTGGCAATGAAGTGGAAGGAGTCTGATACCATACACACTCAGTTCCCTCTTCGGGTTCCACCTCCCCTGAGGTGCTTACACGGTAGCCAAGTATCACTGTCCCCATTTACACAAGAGGAAACTAAAGCTCTGAGAGAAATTATTTTCCCAAGGTCACACAGTTCGTAGGTAGTGAGTTATGTCCTCTATAGTGGTGATGGAGGAAGAGGTAATTACGATGGAGAACTGTGCTTGGCCCCTGGGCATAATGGCAGACCTTCCAGGACATCCATCAGCTCTGGAGATAGGGTTGACAAAATGGAGAAGCAGCCAGTGACCAACCACCCCATCTTCCAGGCGTTCGATGAAGTACACCCTGTGTAGCGATAATCATGGCATCAAGCCTCCCACTCCAGAGCAGTACCTGACGCCCCTGCAGCAAAAGGAGGTCTGCATCCGTCACCTGAGGGCTCGGCTCAAAGACACACAGGATCGACTTCAGGACAGGTAAGCGGGTGCCATGAGGCGGCACCTTTGCCCACTCTCTTCTGGGTGCTAGAAGCAGTAGTGGCCCTTGGGACCAATAGAAGTATGTACGGACCCTCTAGGCTTTCACCTCCATTCTTCCATTCATTCATTCATTACTACAAGTAAGCGCCTACTCTATGGAGGGCCAGGGCAGAGGAGAGATTAAAAAGATTATTAAAACAAGGTCCCTGCCCTTATGGAGATGGACGCAGTGTATTAGGGGAGAGAAAACATGGACATAGGTGAGTGTAATGCAGATTAGATTTGATAACACACATTATATGCAGGGTGACGAAGGGGATGTTTAGTCCAGGAACATGATAGCAGCTGCTTCAGCTCTCTGGTGGGCTATCACGGGATAAAGACTGAATCTGCTTGTCCTCAGAGGACAGAATAGGAGCAATGAGTGGATTTAGAAAGAGAAAGCTTTTTTCTTTGCTCAATATGAGAAAAACCATTCTAATCATTAGAGCCATCCAAAGCAATTGCCTTGGGAGGTTAGGGATTCTCCAGCATTGGAGGTCTTCAAAATTGGGGGAGGGAAGAATTTGAGGCAGGGGAGGGGGGATATTTTAGACTTTAACTCCAGGGATCAGGAAGGACTTCTTTAGGGAGAAGAAGGGAAATGATTCTGAACATGGGAATCATTGTGAGCAAAATCAGGAAGCTGAGAAAGTGCTTTCGAAGGAGGATGTAAGTCTGGTTTGAATGAAGCTTCCATTCTTCCTCTTCTCTCCAATACTAGGAAGGAGGTCAAGAGCCAAGTTACCCGGGCTAGGCAGTGGCCAGAGCCTCGTTCCCTCCCCTACAATCCTCTAGTCCCTTTCACTCAGCTCCTCTGGGCACCTAAGCCCCAGTCCCATTTCCCCCTTTTTAAGCTGGACACTGTTATTCTCCTTCCCTTGTGTGATGCCTCTGACTGCCTCTTTTGTCCCCAACCCTCTCTCCACCCCTCTATCATTTCTTCAAATCACCAAGCATTTCTCTCTGTGTAGGGGCCTGTGAGTGGAACCAGAGAGTCAGGTGTAGGATTGGGCAGACATAACGATGGTCAGGATATGGTGCTGGGGTTTCCTCCCTGGGCGCCTCTGCTTCAGTGGGGAACTTGGGAGGTTTCCACTAACTACCCTTGGATCTTATTCTGTGTCTGTGCTGTCTCCTCAGTCCTCACAAGAGCCAGCTTATCTTTACCCCTTATTTCTTTAAAACTCAGTTATGTGATCAGGTTCCAGAGCCATCTTTGACTGAAGGGAACTCCCTAATTATTTTAAGTTTTCTTCTCTGAAGCTTCATGGCTCCATCTGGGGAGTTTGGTGACTTATTTCTGGGTCCCCTAATGGGGCACTGGAAAGAGCATAACCTCCTGAGTCAAAAGACGTGGGTTCAAATCCCAGTTCTGTTCCATACTACCCACATAACATTGAGCAAGGCACTTAACCTTTGAGCTTTGGTTTCCTCATCTGTAAAAATGAGACAACTGGATTAAATAATAATAATAATGATGTCACATTTCTATAGCACCCACTATGTGCCAGGAACTTTACAAATATTACCTAATTTATCCTCCCAACAATCCTAGGAGGTAGCTTCTGTTATTATTACCATTTTATAGTTGAAGAAACTGAGGCAAACAGAGGTAAAGTGACTTGCTTAGGGTCACCCCGCTAATAAGTGTCTGTGGCTGGATTTGAACTCAGGTCTTCCTGACTACAAACCTAGCACTCTGTACCACCTAGCTACCACATGATTAGGTGACCTTAGAGGTTCCTTTCAAGTCTAAATCTGTATTTCTGCAATTCTTCTATTAGTACCAGCAGCTCATATGGCAATGGTACTTTATAGTTTATAATCCTCATTGTCATCATAGCCAACATTTATATAATATGTAGTATGTGCCAGACACTTTCCTAAGTGCTTTATAATTATTATTTCATTTGATCCTCACAACAACCCTGGGGAGTAGATGCTATTATTATCCCCATTTTACATTTGAATAAACTGAGGCAAATAGAGGTTGAATGACTTGTCTGGGATCACACAGCTAATAAATGCCTGTGATTGGATTTGAACTCAAGTCTTCCTGACTCCTGGCACCACCTAGCTACCATCTGACTAGGTGACCTTGGAGGTCCTCTTGGGTCTAAATCTGTATTCCTATGGTTCTTCCAATAGCAGCAGCAGCAGCGGCTCATTTGGAAATGGTACTTTATAGCTTATTATAGGAGTTAAAGCTGGGAAGAACTTTAGAAAATATCTAGTTCAATCCCCTTATTTTACAAATGAGAAAACTGAGGCCCAGAGCAGGGAAATGACTCATCCAAGGTCACACAGCTAATAAGGGGCAGGGTTACCAATTGACCTCAGGCTTTCCGACTCCCAAGTCCAATGGTCCTTCCATTGCCAAACAATAAATATCGACCTATAGGCATCTGGTGCCATGCCCCCAAAATGATGGCATCCCAGAGTTTGAATAAACTCAGAGATAGGTAGTGCACAGGTTATTATCCCCATTTGCAGATAAGGTAACTGAGGCTTATGGTGGGGAAGCAGCTTGTATCAAGCCAAGGCAGCCTTCACCTCAGGTCCAAGGTTCCTTCCATTCTTTTTATGGATGTATCCTGTTCCCTCTTAAACTCTTCTAGTCTCTTCCCTTCTCAAGTACTATTTTTAAAAAAAAGAAGGAAAAAAAAGAACTGCCATGGCTAAAGAGGAAAACATAGACTTTGCCTGTCACTTTCTTCTTTATTCTTTTCTCTTATCATGAAGAAATATGCCTAGGCTTTTAGGAAGTAATACCAATACCTGATATTTACATAAAGCTTTGCAAAGTGCCATACATATCTCATTTAAGCCTCACAGCAACCCTGTGATGCAGGAGTTACAAACATTATTATCCCCATTTTACTGATGAGGAAACTGAGGCTCAGAAGTGAAGTGATTTGCCCAAGATCACACAGCTAGTAAGTGTTGGAGGCAAGATCTGAACCCAGGTCTCCCTGACTCCAAGTCCAGTACTCTATCCACTATGCCACGCTAATTCGAAGCAAATAACTTCCACTCTATCTTTAAGAATTCAATTCAGCAGGCATTATTAAGTGCTTACCATATACAGGGAACCAACTAATTACTGGGAATGCTGAAACAAAAACAAAAGTCTTTACCCCCAGGGAGCTTGAACCTACTGGAGGAATGCAACGTGGGCATGCTACGAAGTAAGTTAAGAAATAATTTCAGGATAGGGAGAGCCGTCAGTGGTGGGGGCACTCAGCAGAGGCCTTGTGTGGAAGACAGCACCTGAGCTGAGCCTTAAGAGATGCTAAGTATTCTAAGGAGTAACTTTGATGATGGAATAGGGATAGCCTGGGGAAAAACCATGGCAATAGGGGATGGATGGCTCTGTTAGGGGAGCCACGAATATGCCAGAGAAGAGAGAGACCTTCCCCCTGCCAACAGGTAGGGGTATTGTCCTCTGCCAGTCATGAATTTAAGCATGACTCTCCCTTAGTTGTTCTTTGTACCTCTGCCTATATGCATCGAGGTGACAATAAGGGCTTGAAGGGTGTGCCCATGGAACTCAAACTCTCGGAAGGTCCTCCTGCCTGGAAAAGTTTTGAGTCCAGGCGTGGTAATGACAGGATGTCAGTCATATAAGGCCTAGCCTTGCTAAGTTCAGAGACTCTCACTCCTACAACTAGCCACTAAGGGCTGACCGCTGTGACCACAGCAGCTCATGACACTGGCCCGTGGGGCATGGAGGGATTGTGATCTGTGTATCAGGCACCATGGGAGTGGAAATTATAAACCTTTGGAAGTATGTTCCTATGAAAAGAATTCTTTTAAAGTCTGCCTCAGTTAAAAGGCCCATATCCCTTTCCTCCAAACATAGCTTTTTAAAAATCATTTTTAAACAGAAACATGTTAAGGTTTTAACCCAGACATGTAAAAGTACCTTGAACACAGTGGGAGTTTACAAAGTGTTTGTTCAATTGAGAAACAATTGTATGATGTCATTTCTAAAGGGACTGGAGGGGGAGCATGTTCTTTATGTCCTCAGTTCCCTTGGTCATCTATGGCAGAAACTGGGTCTCTTAGGAGATTATCTTCACCTTTCCATTTAGACAAGTGCCCATTTACCCTGACTTTTTGTTTCCTGTCTCTAAGACAGATTCCTGGGTATGATAACAAAGTACCTGTTCCCAATCCCATGAGAATGTTGCGCTTTTTTTTTTTAAATGGCTTTTGTTACTGTTGAGTTTTTGATGACCTGAGTGGTTGCTTGGATCATGGGATCCCAGAAAAAAAAGTGTAGATATGGGGTAGGAACACAGCAAATATAAATGTATTGTTAACCCTTCTCCTCAATCCTATTGTTTAATTTGGCACATGTAATATGCCCTGTGTTCCTATTGCCTATATCCAGACTCATCTATCACATCATCTCCATGTTCTAGTCTGAGAACTTCCCTGATGGATGTAGGTCAGTCTGCTAGATCAACATTTCCCAAACCATTTCCCATAGAGCCCTCATGGTGGTGTGTGCCATTTGAATAAGGATTCTCTAAGATACTTTTGATGACAGCAAAGGCTGGTGGGAGTTAGGAATAGGACCCACTCAGGCATGAAAAGTTAGCAGCATCAACCACAGGGCAGCATATCTGGTTTCAGGCTTCCCTTGTTTGACCCAATGAGCAAGAGATGCCTTTCAGTGTACCTCAGTTACATCTCCCCCAACCTTGTACCTCAGCCCCATCCTTTCCCTCTTGACACTGGCTCCTAGTCTCCATGCCCATTACACATAACTTCCAGTGTCCTCTTCACCCTCCATTTCTGACACACATCATGGACTCCAACATCCTATGTCTGGCAAACAAGTATCACCAACTTCTTCTAAACAGTGCCCTCTACTCTTTCTCTTATACTCCCTATTTTTCCCAATCCCTCTTTACTCCAGGAGCATTCCGATCCTCAGGCTGCCCAGCCCAGCATTTTTCAATCTCTCAATATATTAGACTCCAAAATATCCTTTGGACCAATAAGGTTGGGAAATACTAGAATAGGGAATTTCTGAGCAAATTCATGAACAAAGGCGTGGGGGTAGTAAGATGCAGGCCATGTTCAAGTAGCAAAGAGTGAGTAATACAGTTTGAAAGGAATATAGAGTGTGTGGAGCAGAATGATGTGAAATTAGGCTAGACAAGTAGGTTGAAGTCAGATTATAGGGGGTCACTGAACATCAGGCAAAGAAATCCAAAGTTTACTCAGTTGGCAGTAATGAGCCATTGATGATTTTTGAGCAGAGGAGTGATGTGACTAGATCAGTATAGAAGACTATTCTGACAGTGCTGTGAAGGATAGATTGAAGGGGGTCGAGAGAGTGGAAGCAGGAAGATCTGCCTCCTTAGGAAATAGGTGTCAGTGAGGAGCCACACCAGGTTGGTAACTATGGTAATAGTCATGGAGACTTGGCTCCAAGACTTGAGGATGGCTTGGAGAAGTCTTCTGGAAGTAGAATTGATAGGAAGAGAAGGGTAGTAGAGCAGGCGATGGGAATGGGTTAGATAAGAGACAGAAAGAGAAGGGAAAAGTCAAAAGATAAAAGGGAAAGTTAAGAACATGAGAGTTTAAGTAAACGATGGGGCCATAGACAGAAGTTGATCCAGAAGGTCAAACGTTTTTCAGGGGAAAGATAATAAATAAAAGTTCTGTCTTTAAGTAGGGAGGATTTCTGCAGCCTGAACACTGTTCTTGGCCTGGAAAAGATAAGTAGGAACTAGAAAGATTTCCTCGATTCTGTCCAAGTCATTAGCAACCAAAAAAGCTACTGTACCCCTACCCCCAACCTTTAATCAGTCAAGAGCCCTGCTTGGACCTTTATTACTTTTTCTGGATCTAGATCCTGGGGACCCATGGCCAAGTTCAGGTGGGGTGAGTATGTCACCCTTCTCCTTCCCCCACCCCCCAATCTGCCTACAGGGATTCAGAGATCGATGACCTGAAGACTCAGCTGTCTCGTATGCAAGAGGATTGGATTGAGGAAGAATGCCACCGGGTGGAGGCCCAGCTGGCTCTCAAGGAGGCCCGCAAGGAGATCCGGCAGCTCAAGCAGGTGATTGACACAGTCAAGAACAACCTCATAGACAAAGACAAGGGGCTGCAGAAATACTTTGTTGACATTAACATCCAGAACAAGAAGTTGGAAACCTTGTTGCATAGCATGGAGGTGGCCCAGAATGGGACCGTCAAAGAGGACGGAGCTGGGGGCTCCTCAGGGGGCTCTCCTGCCCGATCCCTAACCCGAAGCTCCACCTACACCAAGCTGAGTGATCAGGCCCCTGGAGATCGCAATGCTGACCTTCAGAGTGCATCCACAGAAGAGGTGGGGGACAGTGGCTTTGCAGCTGCCGATGACACTTTGAGCCGGACGGAACTGTTGGAGGCGAGCAGCCTGCTCTCTTCTGGGGTGGACTGTGGCCCGGATGAAGGCTCCCTGCAGAGTTCCTTCACCTTGGGCTCCCGACTTCCAAACAGCTCCACCTATGAGAAGCTGCTGGGAGGCAGCGGCGGGGGTGTGGAGGCTGGTGTACAGGCCAGCTGCATGCAAGAACGGGCCATCCAGACAGACTTTGTGCATTACCAGCCTGACCTAGACACTATCCTGGAGAAAGTGATGAAGTCACAGGCCTGTGGGCTGGCCAGCCCTGGCCCTAGCCCAGCCTGGACCCCAGCCCCAGATGTGGAGGACGGAGGGGTTGGCATAGAAATGCCCTCAGGCTTCCCAGGGCCAATGGACCTGATACCAGCTGACCCTAATTCAGCAGTGGTGGTGACAGTAGGAGAGGAGCCCGCAATGGCTCCAGTGACCCAAGGCCCTTCCCCACACGTGCCCAACCTCAACCCGTCGGTGAGCATCTCCTGCCCCGTGGATGAAGAGGCTGGCGAGGTAGCGCCCGAGCCTAAAAGCTACTGGAGCCGCCACTTCATTGTGGATCTCCTGGCAGTGGTGGTGCCCGCGGTGCCAACAGTGGCCTGGCTGTGCCGGTCCCAGCGGCGCCAAGGCCAGCCCATATACAATATCAGCTCCCTGCTTCGGGGATGCTGCACAGTGGCCTTGCACTCCATCCGCAAGATTAGTTGCCGTTCCGTGAGCACTTCGGGGCCTGTGGGCACCGGAGGCAGCTCCCAGCTGTGACTGGCCACCCACCCCTGGGAACCAGGCACAGCCTGGTCTGACCACTGATTGTAGGTCTTTCTCTTTCCCTCTCTCTCTCTCGCACACACACACTCACACTCACATGTGCACGGAGTGTCATCATCTTAATTTATTTAGCTTTTCCAAAATAGGGAGGCCATAGTCTGGGTAGGCCAGGATAGCCTGGGGATGTCTGAAGTTCTGCAGGTGGCTGCTCCTCTGGCCTCTTGGGGCAGGAAGGGAGGGTTCTATGGCATAGAATGAGAGGGGGACGGGATAGATCTGATTGAAGCTGGGATACTGCCAACTTCTATCATTGGAAAGAAGATTCCCATTGAAGGAAGACAGCAAAGGACTTCAGCTTCCATTTTCCTCTCCACAATGCCTGTCTCCCTCTGCTACCCCAACTCCTCCTATCCAGTTGACATTCTCCCTAGGCAGTTCTGTATTTGTTTTTTGAGTAAGCTGGCTGGTCCTCAGTGTTCGTGGGACTACCTTCTTAGTCCTTTCTCCCTTGACTGTTAGGTCAGTATTATTGCTTCCAGTGGAGGAAATGACTCGCCCAAGGTCACATGGCATAGGGATTGGAATTGCTGGGAAATGGGAACACATGGCTTTCTTCTCTTTGCCTTCATAGGCAACCCAGGTTGGTTCTGGAAATGAATGGTGGGGGAAAAGGGAAGTAATGACTGAAACTGCCCTGACATTTCTGGTCACTGGGCGGGGGGGGGGGGGGGGGGGAAGAGCCAGGAAGGGAGGAAGGAAAAAAATGAATGGGGGAGGGTCAGCAGAAGGCGATATGGGGCCTGGCTGGCTTTCCCTGCCGCGCCCCCCCCTCGGCCCTGCGCTGATTGGTAGGATGGCTTACTGAGCCCATTCTCAGCCTTGAGGATGGGAGGTGGCTCCCCCAGGGCCCAGGTCACCATGGGAACAAATTACCACACCATCTAACTAATGTCCTGAACCCCTTTCTACCTTACCCTAATGCTTCTGTAAATTAGAACAGGCAACGTTGAGATTGTCCTTCTGAGTATGCAGCTGCTCTTGGGAGATCTAGGGGACGCTCTCCATCTCACCAGCTGTATTGAAAGGTGCTGAGGGGTCCCCATAGGAATTGAGAAGAAGCCAGTGGCACCCCCAAGCCATTTTGAAATCATTTTGCACTATGTCCCCTTTGTAATAACAATATTTTCTCAGGGGAGGTGGGTGGATAAAGCTCCACCAGGATGCCAGGGTCATGGAGAGAGGGAGAGAGGAACTTGCCATTAGCTGGCACTCCTCCTTCTGGAGGTTGGGGGTGGGTGGGGGCGAGGTGAAAGCTTGTATCTTTGGATGGCCAAACCCCAGTGTGTCTGGCTATAAGGGAGAGGAGAGGTGGAAGAGAAGGGCCCCAACCCATGCCTTTATGCCTCTGGCTGAAAATTCCTCAGTGCAATAAGCCAGGGGTTAGGATAAAGAAGCCATGTTTTACCAGCCAGCCCTGCACGGAGCATGTGGATGGAGAACGTGCCGAGGGGCAGGGTGGAGTGAGGGCAGACCTGCTCACTAGCCAAGATCCTGCTGCATCTCCCTCACACTCATACATGTGTACACACATACACATGCATATGTGCACATACACATGCTCCAGGCAGGGCAGAGTCACCAACACCTCCCTGTTTCTGAGCACCAGCTCCTTCAGTGAAGTAGCTGACACTGTTTTTCTTTTAAAAACAACCCACTCGTGTTAAGTCTCATAATTGATTTTGTCTCCCAGCCCAGAATGCTTGGAACACCTCTAGGGTGTTAGAAGGGTCCCCTTGATGCTCCGTTCTATAGGCCTGTAATTTTCTTTTTTAAGATCTGAAGCCTAGTCTTTGAGGACAAGGTCCCCGCACACAGCTTGGGCTGTTTGGCAGCTTGGATCTGTTCACCGCCTTTGCTTGAGCTGGCTCCTCTCGTGCCCGTCTGTGCTCTGTCTCCTCAGACTGGGGAGCTTCCTTCCGCATGTGCAGGGGGATCGGTCCCATTCTCCCCCAGCTTAGCTGTGTGTCTCCCCAATCCACAGAGGTAGGCAGGCATTTCTACTCATCGATCCTTTCTAGTGGACCCCCTCTGCAGAGGCCCAAACCCGAGGGTTAGCAATCTGGAAAGATTACCTGGGAAGTGGGGGGAGGGAGACCTCCCTTTGGACACTGGAATGGGATATGTCTGCAATCTGGTGATGAGGGGACTGTTGAAACCTGATCTAAAGTGAAAAGGCCACTTGTTCTAGGATCTAAGCCTCATGTGCAATGTATTTGTGGATCTGTGTAAGCATCTCATTAGATTATCCAAAGCTTTGCTGAGAAAATAAATGTATGATTATATTTGAAAAGAGAAAATCGATATATTTTTCAAAACCAGAACTTCACTGAGCTATAAGGGCTCAGCTGCTGTCTCTTGCTTTCCTATAAGTCCCTGATCCCATCCACAGGCTGTAGTAAATGATAGGGATCCAACCAGATCTTTTGCTGCCAAATCAACCCCATTCCTTCCTCGCTATAGGACTCCGACCTAGGAAGGCCCCAGCCTCTGGTGTTACCTTTGCATGGATGTGCCCTGGGCCTGGGAATGTACTTGCTCTTAGCCACCAGAGAGAGAGCCCTATGGATGTAACTCAGCCCAGCTTAGGCAAATTCAGGTTTGTGGGAACTATATGAAAGCCCATGGAGATTCCCATCACCTGAGGTGTGTCTTTTCAGTGGAGATTCCACAGGAAAGCTTCAATGGTCTTGGTCTAAGAAGTTTTTTTAGGGGAATCTCCCTGATCCTGAGGGATCTATGTGCCATGTGCTGGTGACCAAGGCTGGTGTCACCATGTGCATTGCAGGCAGGTTGCAAGGTGATAAAGAAGGTGGGTAGCTCCTTTACAATCAGCATTTGTGTTGGGCATCAGAATGGGACTGAATTTTATGCCTATAAAACCAGAAGCTGCCGACTCAATCTCCCTGTCCCCAGTCTGGGATCATCTCAGCTCTCCAGAGAGGTAACTGGGGGACCCATGCACTTCCCACAGAACTAAGGGATGATAATTGACTGAATCTGTCAGTGTCGGTGGGACCCTTTGGTAGCTCAGCAGGAGGTAGGGACCCCCCATCCACCAAAACGCACACACTTGCTTGTTTGCTATGTGCCTATGTGTTTGTGAAGTGTAACCTAAGACTATGCAATGAGTTCAGTGCTGTCTGCCCTGGGGTGGGAATAGGGCAAAGAGAGCTTCCTCATCCATGCAGTCCCTGCTCAGGGCTCAAGGCAGGTGGATCAGTGATTGTTGCAGGCCCCAGACATCATCTGGAGCCTTCTGTTTTTACTATGCAAGGGGCACTGAGGGGCCTGGAAGGTGGTGCTCCACTTTTCAGGGGGATGGGAAGATTGGGGCTCAAATGGCTCCATGCCCTGCCCCCACCCCAGAAACTGTTGGTTTGTATTAAGCTCCCTTCCTACCCTTTTATTTCCCATGCCATAAACTTTTAAATGTCGTTCCATGTTGAGCCCTGGAAGTTTGAGAGGCTCCAGGCCTGCTGAGAGACTTAAAAGAAGGCTCACCCCAGCTTAGACAGAGAGCAGAGTAATACCCCTCACCCTTACCCTACTCCATAACTCAGGATCTTCTCTCCCACCCCTAGCCCCCAAACCTCTTCTAGGGGCCCTTGGCTTCTCAGTTAATTGCCTACAGTGGGCAATCTGTCTCAGGAGCTGAGCTTGGCTGTAGCAGGAGCAACCACAGCTCCCCCATGATCATAATCCAGCTCTAGGCTGCTGTCCTGGGTCTCATCTTTGCCATTACCCAAACCCCGTAAGTTAGAGCCTCCTGCCATCTTGATCTGCATCTGTGGTTAGTTGTTTTGCTTGCAAAAATCTTGGGGCCTCAAGAATGAAATTTAAGACAATGTCTCCTAAGGGGATAACTTAGCTCTTCACTAGAATGCTCTTGCCTCCTACTGCATACCCTGGCATCTCATCATATTGGTCAGAGAGTGTGGATTGGCTTTCTCAGCAACAACTCCCTGGCTCCCTTTTCATCTGCCTGCCCAGGGAAGGAAATCAGAACTGTGGGAGACAAGAATTCCTGGAAGGTAAGCCAAGGACACATCTAAGTACAAGGGCTATACTAGTTTCCAGGGAAAAAAAGTGGGAAATTTTTTTTGGAGGGGAAGATGGTCAGTGATAGGAAGCAAGGTGGTCAGTATGAGGCCTCTCCTGTCTCATCTCCTTTCACTCTGGTCTTTCGTTCACATGGTTGGAACTGCAGCTGAACCAAGCAGTTCTGTATTAAAGCATGAAAGCCACACCCCCAGTGTCCTGCTCTCTATATTGCGCCTCTGAAGGTGGGAGGGAGGGAGGGAGCAAGGAAGGGAGATGCTAGACCTACTTTAGTGTACTAAAAGAGGGGATCAATGATGGGTGGACTAGAAGGAGCACTGAATTTGGAGTCAGAAGGACTGAGGCCAGAATCTGAATGATGCTGCTTGTGACCTGTGTAATTTTGAACAAATTAGTTCCTTTCATATAGGCCTCAGTTTCCTCATCTGAAATACAAGGGGCTTGGTACCTTGGTATAAAGTATATTCCATGTCTAAGCCCTGTGAAGATTAAATACCTTTTTAAAAAATCTGATCCAGAGACACAGGATGGAAGCCTTCCCCGTGGAGAGCACAGTTTTCTGCAAACTCTAGCACCATTCAAACACAAACACGTGGCCATGGCTACTCTCTGACAAAGTTAACGGCAGTGGAGAGGATGCATTGGAGAAAAAAATATTAGTTTAAAAAAGTGGCTATTTTCATGAATTAATGCATGAATAATCATTTATTCAACACTTACTATGCACCAGATATTATGCCAAGAAATGAGGGCTCAAATTAAAAAAGCATGGCAGTCCCTTATATTCTAATGGGGAAAGAAGACATATTTGGGGAAGTTGTGGCTAGGGAGGGCTCTTGGTCTGGGAAGTTATAGGGATGAAGAATGGAGCCATAGAGAAAGACTGACTTGTCCTTTCTGGTATTGTTCCCAGAGCTGGAGATGGAAAGCTAAGGGAATGGAGTATGAGAAAGAGCAGGATAGTGGATCTAGGCTGATATTGGAAAACCCTCACCCACCAGGAGCCCCTCAGAACAGCTGTTTCATCATCTGTTCTCTGGGAGCAAGATTCATCATGGAAGTTATAAATTTGACTGCTTTTTTTTAGTGTTGTTTTTATCAACCATGTTGGAATCTGCTTAGTATTCTCCTTGCTCATCATAATGGGGTGCACTTGATTTCCAAATCATTTTCAATCGATCAATAAACCTAGCAGGTAGTAGGTGCTTAATAAACGCTTATTGATTGATTGATTGATTGTTCATCATGGAGCTCACTTTATTTAAAATTTTTTTTAAGTTCTTTTGCAAAGATGGCAAAGAGCTAAGAGAGAAACCTGAGCTCTGTCCGATTCATTCCCTTTTGAGGGTCAACTCTTCAAACTGACCTAGGAGCTATTTCAATAATGACAACCAACTATTTATCCCTAGGTCCTCTGCCCAGCATTGAGGCCTACCCCCTGCATCAACCTCTTTGAATATATTAAAATCAACTGCCACAAAATCCTGAAATGATGAGTGAAGGGGGGTGGGGGTTGGGCAGCAGAATTGAGTGCCCTGTGGCATTAACTTCCTTAAGCTCTAATTTGCTTGATTGTATCACAGTATTTATAAATTTGGTGCTAAATAATGAGGGCTTGGAGTAGAGGGCCTCTGAGACCCCTTTTAGCTCTCCCTCTGCTTTGATCTTAAGCCCTCCTGTAATGCTACTTCACCAAGCTTTTTGCGAAGAAATGTGAAATGGGTTATGTCCATACCCATTTCTTCTCTGCTTGATGCCTGAAGCCCCAGGAAACTATATGAGTGTTAGTATTTGCCAGAATTCATTCTTCCAGGCATATAGACATGAAGACTTTACTATGGGCTTGTTCCAGGTTCTGTTTTCTTCCCTAACCCCTTGGCATGCATAGGTCCTTCCAGGATCCTGTCTGCAGCAGGATTAAAGAGCTCCTCTCAGCCAGCTAGAAGAAAAAGAAATCATAACATGGAATGCTGCTCATTCCCACGCCCTCCCCTGAAGTGACAGAAATGGTCCCCTGAAAGGATTGAGAGGGCCCCTAGAGGCATGTGAACTGTGCTCCCATCCCATCCTTTGAAATGTTAGAGGGTCCCCCTGTGGAAGGACAGGAAGGAGGGCCTGGAGCTGCAGGCTGTCCAGGTCCTTGGCTTCAGATATCAGGAATAGAACGATCCATGGAATTATGCAGCAGGGTCGAAGAAAGCCTGGGAACAATGAAAGACAGCTGGGATTGGCAAAAAGCTTTTCTCAGAGAACCTCTCATGACATGAATACGACTCTGCATTTGCTTTACATACTTCTGAAGCTTTCGTATCTCCTGGCATTTCCTCCCAGCCCCTTCTGGGGGTTGTACAGGCAAGGGATAGAATCACCCCCACCCCTTGGGCTTACAGATTAGACACAGGTGTTCCCCAACTATGAGTCCTTACAGGAGTCCTACGTTTTCTTTTTCTGATAACAAACAGCCATGGAATGTCTAAGTTGGAAGGGACCTTAGAGATCATTGACTTTAACCTCTTTATCTTACAGATGTGAAAACCGAGGCTAAAATAAACAACTAGTAAGTGGCACATCTGGAACTTAACCCCACGTCTCCTCCCTCCCAAACCAGGGAACTCTTCCTACTCTATCAGGTTGCCTCTCATCTTTACCTAGCCCTTCTTCATCATCAATAAAGACAGCCTGCACTCTGTTACCTTACCACCTTGCTTTAACCTAAGAGGCAATTTGTTGAGTAAAAACAAGCCCTGTCATAGGAATTAGGAGACTTGGGTTCATGTCCTGTCTCTGCCTCCAACATTGTGGATGGTCTTCAAGAAGTTACTCCCTAAAGTTCTATATTCTGAAGATTCCTCCCAACACTGACATTTGATTGGATGCTGAAGGATTCTCCATAGCTGTTAGGCAAGGTGAAGAAAGGGGTGGAGGGAAGAAAAGGTCTCCTTACTTTTTAATCATGTGCTCATAAATCACTGTGGGGATGATGGTGAGAGTGATTACATTTCCAGCTGTGGCCAGGATATCCATAATCTCCTTGTTCTAGAGCCAAGGGGGAGGGAAGAAGAAAATGAAAAGTGAAAAATGATGACATTAGGATACTGGTAGGGGCAGCTAGGTGGTACAGTGGATAGAGTGCTGGGCTTGGAATCTGGAAGACTCACCTTCATGAGTTCAAATGTGACCTCAGGCACTTACTGCCTGTGTGACCCTGGGCAAGTCATTTAACCCTGGTTGCTTTAATTTCCTCATCTGTTAAAATGAGCTGGAGAAGTAAATGGCAAACCACTCCAGCATCTCTGCCAAGAAAACTCCAAAGGGGTCACAGAGTCAGATACAACTGAAATGACTGAACAACAATAGATGCTTCTAACCATGCTGCCAATTCCACTGCTAGAGTAATACAAAGATACACAAGATACTGGAGGGGCATACAAAACAGGACGGCATTGGTTGTAACTGACCTCAGATCATACAGTACATTAGAAATCAGTGGTGGGGGCAGCTAGATGGCACGGTGGATAGAGCTCCAGCCCATGATTCAGGAAGATCTGAGTTCAAATCTGGCCTCAGACACTTGACACTTACTAGATATGACCCTAGGCAAGTTACTTCACCCCATTGCCTCACCAAAAAAAAAAGAAATCAGTGGCCACTACTTCCAGAATGCTAGCCTCAGGGTCTCATCCCCAAATCCCAGGCCTCCTACAGGGCCTGAGAAGTTTTGCAAGGACAATATTTCCTTGTCTTTCTGTCTCTCTCCACCATTCTAACCCCCAAATGTAGAGAATAAACTGAAGTAAATGAAGACTTTACACTGTCTGGATCTCATACACAACCAACCAGAGTAACTAGGGCTCATGCAAGCTTATCTCAACTCTATCCAACTGACTAGGACCAAGTCAAGGTGGAGAGTGGGGACAGTGTGGACAGAGAAGAAGGCACACTAAGAAAATGAGTGCATCTTAGCTCCTGCAATTCAATGAGCAATTATGACATTGCTGTGTGGGAAACACTGGGGTAAAGGCTAGGGGAGGTACAAAGTTTAGAATACACATAGTCCTGAAACTCATCATTTGTTGGCTGGACAGGTAAAGGAGACAAGAACCACAAATAAAAATCAGATCTGTCCCAAGGATCTTGGCCTACCCTAAACAAATCCACCCAACCTTGCTTGCTAAATCTCATGGGTTTTATTCACAGGAAAGTCCCCCCAGGCCCTGACTCAGAACTTACTAATTTTTGTTTTATACACAATTTTAACAAACTTGGGTATCTGGTTTCCCAGACTACAATACATAACGTACAGCCAATAAAAAATTATAACAGGGGGTGGAAAAAATGTTGTTTGCTATAGGCAAACACATACTGTCTGCAAGAAGTGACAGCCTGATAGTGAAGGAGACAGAGAAAAATATGAAAATACGGTCTCAAGAAGTCTGGTAGCTGGAGGCAAGTGAGTGCAGAGGCAAAGAAGTCCCCGTATCTCAGTAATCCCCTAGGACTCCTGAATCACCTTAAGAGGCTAGATAAAAGTGAGATAAAAACAATCATAATAATCATAAAACAGAGGAGTTAAACCAACGTGACTTGACAAACCTCCCTAGCCCTGGTTCTAATATGTCAAGATTCTAAGATGTTTTGAGTTCCAACCATACACTCAGCCTCACACCTAGCTCTGTGTCATTTACAATCCAGTCTGAGCCTGGATTTCTAGGCCAGCAGCCTCACATGGACATTCTGTTACCCTGCTGAAGGTCCTGGAAGGGGTGAAGGGATGTTTTCCCAAAAGTTGGGCGGGATCAAGATGATGACACTCCTGGTTACAAGCAGCCCTGGTCAGTCATTGGGCTAGGCCTACCAGGAACAAAGAGCCTATTTCAGAGCCCCTGGAATTTGAATCTGATTTTACTTTTCACTATTGTCTGTGGAACTATTTTTTTAAAGAAATATTAACAGGAAGGAAGGAAAAGGGGAAGGAAGGAAGGAAGGAGGGAGGGAGGGTAGAAGAAAAGAAGAATAGAGAGGGAAAGAAGGAAGGAAAGAAGGCAGAGAAAGGAGAGGAGGAGGAAGAAGAGGAAGAGGAGAAAGAAGAAGAGGAAGAAGAAGAAGAGGAAGAAGAAGCAGCAGAAGAAGAAATTTGCTGTATTCCAAAGTGATTCAGGAACACCATTCTCTCCGATTATAACAGTGACAGCAAAATAGAATCTCTCACATTCCAAAAGCACTTTCTGGTTAGAGAGGGCTTTCACATCCATTCTCTCATCTGAACCTCACCACAGCCCTGGGGAGGAGGTGGGGGAAGAGTTACTAACATTCCCACCTCCCCTCCACCCTTCACTTTATTTATGTGGTTTGTTTTTACATGACATACATATATAGATTACTCCTATTGCCTCTTGTTACAAGGTATCTCTTGTGACAAAGTAAACTAGTAGCCTCATTTGAAAGGGCAAGAAACATCTGACATCTGTAGAACTGCCCCTCCATATGTTTTTAATGAACAGAAATCTGTTTTCTCTCCTTCCCATCTCTCACCCTATCAGAAAAAAAGAAAAGAAAAAAAGCAAATTTCTTGTAGAAAAAAAACAAATTTCTTTTAACAAATATGCAGTTAAGCAAAACAAATTTTCTTACTTTCTGCACACACACACACATACACACTTCATCATTTCTCTCTAATGGATAAACATGTTTCATCACGGATCCTCTGGAATCGTGGATGGTCATTGTATTGATTGATCATAGTTCCTAAAGCTTTCAAAGTTGTTTTGAGAGTGCTTTGTCACCATATAATGGCTGTCCTGGTCCTGCCCAATTCATTCTTCATTAGTTTATAAAAGTCCTCAAAACTGTTCATATCTATAATATTGATGTTACACAGTATAAACTGTTCCTCTGGTTCTACTCACTTCATCTTTTATCACCCCATTCATACAAGTCTTTCCATTTCTTTTGGAAATTTCCTCATCTATTTCCTCATTTCTCATAGCACAATAGTATTCTGTCACATTCACAGGCCACAACTTTTTCAGCCATTTCTGATTTATTGGACATCCTCTTAGTTTCCAGGTTTTTTATTCTTTTGCTAGTACAAAAACTGCTCCTATAAATACCCAGAAGAAAGCAAAGAGCTTTATGTACATTCTCATTTTACAAATGAGGAAACTGAGGTTTAGAAAAAGAAATGACTTGATCAAGTTCACACAACCTATCAATGGCAGATATAGACCTCGAATCCAGGTCTCGTGAGTACCTAGCCAGAGGTATTTTTTCTTGATACCTCAAGGGAGAAGCTCCCTGACTTACCTTCAGTCCAATGACATTCTGCCCATTCACTTCACAGATACAGTGATTGGTGAGGAGCCCATTTTGAGCTGCAGAACTGCCTTGGACAATAGAAATAATTTTCCCCTTCTTCAACATAAAGCCCACAAAGCCGTTGCTGTCTTTGTGCAGGGTGACAGTCCGCTGGAAAGGCCTAGAATGGAGACAGCAGTGAGACAGGGGATGTCTGGCACCAGAGAGAGCACCTATTGTGTAGTCTGTGGCTCTGGCCGGCTTACCTGTCCCTCACGATCATGACAATCTTCTCAGCTGAGGCTTTCTTCACCACTTTGTGGGCCTTGACCGCACTCCACCCCACACAGTCTTTCCCATTAATTTGCAAGATCTGGTCCCCGAAGCGAAGGCCTACGAGGGAGGCTGGAGTATTGGCCTGAACCAATTGGACAAACAGGCCCTACGGGAAGAAGACCCACTTGACAGTCAGGACTGGCGTTCCATCCAGCCCAAAACATCTCTTGAAACTGGCTCAAGGGTCAGGGCTTGTAGGCTCATAGATTGAGAGATGGAAGGGACCTTGGATCACCTAGTCCAACCTCCTTCTCATTTTATGGATGAGAAAACTAAGGCCCAGCACATGTGAAGGCTTGCCCCAAGGTCACAAAGTTTCTGAGTACAGAGAAGGAATTTGAACCTAAATTGTTTGATTCTGTATCCATCATTCTTTCTATTTCAAGATGAGGCAAAAGGCAGAATACCTGGGATGTCTTTTGGGTCAGATGGGATAGAGAGCTGGCAGGAAGTGGCAGGGCCTTATCACCTCCACATATGCCCTAGCCCCTCCCTCACCACACACCCATATTGCCCCCTTTGGGTCTTTCTCTGCTTTGATCACATGGTCAAGATGTCTACAGCTGCAAATGTAATGCTGTCCTAGGATGGTCAATTATGGAGTGGGAGAAATGTCAGCATGGCCCGGGACATAGAAGACTTCAGTTCAAAGCACCGCCACTTAACTGATTCCAGGACAACCAGCCAGTCACTTTCCTTTCTTTGAGGCCTCAATTTTTCCATATGTAAAATGGGAGTAAAAAATCTCCATCCTGTCTTCCACACAGAAGTATTACAAACCTTTGTAGCCACAAAATAATGTGTGTGTGTGTGTGTGTGTGTGTGTGTGTGTGTGTGTATTGGCTAACATTTATCTAGCACCTACTATGTGCTAGGCACTGTGCCTTTAAGCACTTTACAAATATTATCTTATTTGATCCTCACAACCACCCTGGGAGTTAGGTGCTATTATTATTCTCATTTTACAGATGAGGAAAGTGAGGCAGACAAAGGTTAAGTGACTTGCCCAGAGTCACACAGCTGGTAAGTGTCTGAGGCTGAATTTGGACCCAGGTCGTCCTGACTGTAGGCCTAGCCCTCTATGCACTACACCATCTAGCTTCCCCAAACATCTGTACATGTCACCCCCACACACATCAAATTAAACTCCAAAAATTAGAACTCACATATGTGTGTATGTATTACAATCTTGAACATGAGCCGATTATAATTTTGAACAAGAATCAAAGTTCCTGAATTCCTATGACCAGCAGCAAAGTAATACCCAGAAATTTCCAGTTCTGGCCCTATTCATTAAGAGTGGGACACAAATGATGCTAGAGTCTGATATTTGGAGTCAAAAGGAACTAGTTTTGAATCCCATTGCTACTTATTGCCTGTATTGAGCAAAATATTCCACCACATCTTTAAAGTGTGTGTGTGCACATGTGCATGTGTGCATGTGTGTGTGTGTTTGTATTTGTGTGTGTGTGTGTACTAGATGACCTCTGAGGACCTTCCAAATTGATTTCTCTGATCCTAGGAAAATGAAGAAAGCTCAGTGATAACCTAGGGAGAAGGGGCAGAAATCTCTGGGGACTCCTATACCCACCTTAGCAGGAGACCCTGTCATCCTTTCCCCTTTCTCAAAATCTCCCACAGTGATGGCCCAAGCTGGCAGGGAGATACATGAGCCCCCCTTCCCAATACCTTGTCAATGGCTTGCAGACGCAGCCCAGTCTTCCCCTTCTCATCCTTGCACAGGTGGATCTCTCGTACGCCTGGCTTGATCTCAGCTCTTCGGATGCCCAAGTTATTTCCAGTCACTGGGGCTACCATCCGACCTTGTGCAGTGGGAGTGGCCACTTGCTGTAAGGATTGGTCAAATAATCAGTGTCAGTGTGGGTACCTAGAAGAGACTATTTTCTTCTATTTGCTAACTGTGATGTGGCAGAGATGGGGAGTGGAGAGTGAAGTGATTGCCTTTCTGGGTAAGATAGGGAAATGAAGCCTCTGGGGTCCATCACACTTGGTGGCCCCACTCAAAAGCAAAACATGGGAGATGGCAGCAGAAAGTGTAAATTTCTCTGAATGGCCACTAGAGGGCAAAACAGCCCCACATTCCGGAGAAGCTGCATGCAGGGGTGTGTGTGTGCTACATAGCAGGATGGAAGGATGTGACAGAATTATGGGTTTGGAGCTGGAAAGGGCCTTAAAGGCCATAATTTTGTAGGTGAGGAAACCAAGGCATCGAGAGGGTAGGTGGTCTGCCCAAGGTCCCATGGTTAGTGTCTAAGATGGATCAAGTTCAGCCCTAGGGGCTGACGAACTTAATAGAGAAATTTGCAGAGGAAACATCTCCCCCTGCACCACACACTAGCCTATGTATGGAGTGCACTGAAGTCTGGCCCAACGTCTCCATAGTCTAGTGGTGACTCCCTTGGAGGTAAGGTCAATTCCAGGCCTTTCTCAAGGCTAAACCGAAACCTCAAGGTCCCAAGAACCAATGAACCTTTGAGTCTGGCTAGCATCCAGGACCATAAAGGATGCTATTCTTTGAGTCTTCGTCCAGTCTAGGGCCCCGAATCTTAGAAGGAACAAGTCAAAGTGTATTCGTAAGATGGAGACCAAGGAGCGAAGGGATTCAAAGTCATGTCAAGTGAGGAAATGTCAAAGGAACTAGAAATGTTTTAATTCTAAAGAAGAAAAGACCTAGGAGGACCAATGACAATTATCTTTAACTCTCTGAAGGGCCATCTTGGGGAAAAAGAATGAGGACTTGTTCAGAGTGGCCCCAAAATCTAGAACTAGGATCAACTGGGAAATATTACAGGGAAACAGATTTCGACTCAATATGACATGAGAAATTGCCTATTGACAGAGCTATCCTAAAATGGAATGGGCTACTACAGGAGACAGTGAACTCCTTCCCCATCACTAGAGGTTTTCCAACAGAAGCTGGACAACCACCCCTTCTCGAGGTTGTTGCAGAAGAGATCCCTGCTCTCAGGTCCAGGTTTAACTACATTCTGAGGTCTCTCCCGATTCTGAGATTCTTGGATTCTGTGGATTAATGCTGGGCTGGGACTTCAGAGATTGCTTTATACCAGGATCTTCCTTTGACCCATCCTAATCTCATCTGGATTTTCTCCTGGTGCTGAGCTAGAGCCAGCCCAGGTTCCAGAGGTCAGAAGGGACCTTTACTCCCTGAATGAAGCACTGCCAAAGGGACAGCAGGAGCTAAATAAGAAATACCAGCACCAGAAATGATAAAAACAAAAAGGAAGGAAAGAAGTTCACAGCCAAGAAATGCAGAAGCCCCTCTAGGCCAGGAGCAGGAACTGATGCAGCAGGGAGGGAGGGAGGGAGCACCTCCATCCTCTGTGCTTAGCTGAAATAATCCAAACAGACAAAGATACCCACATTGTCGCTTCCTGGAGTCAGGGACAGGTTCTCTTGAACTTCTTGACTTGAGAGAGAGAGACCCATGTAACTTTCTAATTCAGCCAAATTTGGGTACAGAACTAAGAGGGGAATAGAAGAGAACAGAAAAACATGATTTACACACACATAGCTGTCTCTAGTGCCAATAGCCTTTAAAGTCAACAGGCATATTAATATATTAAGGAATACACACACACACACACACACATATGTAATTAAATTTATATTAAGGAATAATGATATATATATACCATACATGTATAATCACATTTGTATTAAGGAATAGTGATATATTTCTATATATTGTTTATCTATTATGTAATATTAAATAATTTTAATTTATTCTATAATTTATTTATGATATATGTTTTATATTTAAATTATACAGATAGCTATTTATCTATCTATATCTATTGATCTATCTGACTAGATCTATAGATAGACAGATATAAAATAAGCCCACGGCTGAAAGTCAGGAATCCTAGGTTCCAAGCTGGCCTCTGTCAGTTGACTTCTTAAGCGACTTGGGAAAATTATTTTTCTCTAAGACTCAGTTTCCTCATCTGTGAAATGAGTATGCTGGACTCAAGGGATTTTTAACCTGAAGTCTGTGAACTTTTTATTTTAAATATTTTGATAATTGTGTTTCATTACAATTGGCTTCCTTTGTAATCCAATTTTTTTAAAATAATTATGCATTTCAGAACATTATTCTGAGAAGGGATCCATAAACTTCCAAACTACCAAAAGGAGTCCATGACAGAAAAAAGGTTTTAAGAACTCCTGGTATCTCTAAGACCCTTCCTAGCTCTGACATTCCATATTCCAAGGTCCCTCCCAGCCCTGACATTCTATGTTACAAGGTCCCTCCCAGCCCTGACATTCTATGTTATAAGGTCCCTCTCAGCTCTGACATTCCATATTCCAAGATCCCTTTCAGCTCTGACATTCCATATTCTAAGGTCTCTCTTTGTTCTGACATTCCATGTTCCAAAGTCTCTCCCAGCTCTGACACTCCATATTCCAAGGTCTCTCCCAGCTCTGACATTTCATGTTCTGTCAGTTCTCTAGAAGAATTCAATGGGACATACAGCAAGGGAATGGATCCAGTTACAAGATCTCAGTTGAGCATACAGGACTATGAATAGACCTTGGACAATATCCCTGGGCTCCCAACAAATTGAAAAGTAGAAGGACTAAAGCCAAAGAGAGCTATGACCCCAGGAATGAATAAATGAATGAAAAAACACTTATTAAGTGCTTCCATAAGCATTATGTCTCTGTGAACTGACTCTGGTACCAATTTGTCACCTAAAGGGGCTGAAGCTGGCAGAGGTATATGTGGTTATGGCTTGGAATCCAAGTCTACCGTATACCTTACACCACTCCCCAGCTGGGTCATGAATTTACTCTCTCCTAACCATAGACTTATCTTTCCAGAAGCCAGCCAGGTATGTTAACAATCTAAGGCACCTCCTCCCTCCCTCCCTAGAATGAGCCAGCATCCTGGTTCAGTGCTTCTTAAACTGTGGGTCATGACCCTTTGGGTCTGAAGTGGTCACAAGTGAAAAAAGTTGAAGAAGCCTTGGACTATAACTTACTGGGTTGTGAAGATGAGGTTTTCTGGGCTGGGAGGGCCAGCATCTTGGGAATCACAGAAGCCTGAGCCTGCAAGAGACCAGAAACATCAATAAGAAACTCAGTTCTCATGTTCCTGGGTTCCTTCATGTGAAAGGGTCAAAGTGAGCTCCAAGTTGGGGTTCCTTGAATTCCCAAAAAATTCATATCTAGCCTAGAACCAATGGGGAATGATGGAGTAAGGAAGACCCTAGGAGGCAGCCCTAAAACTGATCTAAGGCCCTTTGAAGGTATGACTAGGTGGCATATGTCTTATCCCAAATCATAAAAGGTCACAAACGAGAAAGGTGATCAGAACAGGGAAGGAAATAAAAACCCTATCATCTGAGGATCAGCTAACAGAGTTGAGTGGGATGCATAACTTAGAGACACTTAATAGGGGGCTTGGGGAGCTGTCCTGAAAGATTTGAAGGATTGTTAATGAGAAAGAGAGATGAGACTTTTTCTCCTTGGCCTTGGAGGACAAAACTAAGACCAGTGGGAGAAGGGAAGAAGTTGGAGTGAGGCAGGTTTCAGCTCAATGTACAGAACTTCCTAACAATACGAACTATCCAACAATGGAATGAATGAGTTGTCTCAAAAAGAAGTCTTTGAGAAGAACATTAGCTAGTATTTATATACAGTAGCACTTTGAGGTTTCAAAAATATTTTACATGTGTTATCTCATCTGATCTTCATGACGATCCATCCAAGAAGGTGCTGTTGATACCCCATTTTGCAGATGAGAGAAATGAGGCTGAGAAAGGTAAAGTGACTTGCCCAGCGTCCTACAAATAGTGTAAGTTGGCTGAGGCAGGATTTGAGCTTAGGGCTTTCTGGCTCCTAGTACAACAGCGCTAGTGCCACCTTGCTCCCTCAGAAGCTGAATGACTCCTTGTTTGAGGATGTTGTAAAGGGGATTCCTGTGTCAAATACCCATTGAAGGTCTCTTCCAGTTCTAATATTCTCTGACTCCTTGATCTACTTAGACGGCATAAAGAAGCAATGATATAATAAAAAGTACTGGCCTCAGAGCCATGAGACCTGCATTTCCATTCCAACTCTGCTACTTATTTCCTATGTGAATGTAGGAAAATTGCTTCCTTTCTTTAGACCTCAGTTTCCTCAGTCTGTAAAATTAAAACCAGAGATAATCTCTATGGTCCTTCCTAGCTCAAACTCCTATGAATCCAAGAGTTTTTAAATGTCCCCTAAAAATGGGATCTTGGGATCTACTCTTCACCAGTGACAGATGAGGGTAGAAGAAGAGATTTAATAACCAAGAAGTATGCCAGACATGGTGATACATGATTGTAATCCCTGGTAATGGGGAAGCTAAACTTGGCAGGTTAGGAGCTGGGAGTTCTAAGGGGAGAGTGCTACATAAGGAGAGGCAAACCTGTCCAGGTCAACCAATTGATAAGCATTTATTAAGTACCTACGATATGCTAGACATTATGCTAAGCACTGGACAGAAGCAGCAGGTCAAAGCTTCCATTCAATACTTGCATGATGCTTTGTAAACCTTAAAGCGCTATGTAAATGCTAACCATTAGCTATTAGTGAGATTGGGCCCATAAATGGCCACTGCACTTCCATCCTGGGCGAGATAGGAGAGAGACCCAGTCTCAAAATAATAAAAATAACTAAGAAGGTCAACCTCACTAAAAACTGCCCATGCCCCATCTCTTTCCTCATTTCCTAATATCACCCCTTTGACTGGAGTTTGACCTTTCTGCATCCCCTTGACCCAGTACTGGCACCTGGGATTCTCATGTGCTCCACCCATGTGCTCCCCAGACTTCTTCAGCTTCCTCCCCACACCTCACCCTTTCTTTATTCTTTTTGGGCTCTGCCCGAGGCAGTTGACTGGTTTTGTTGCTACTAAAGTGTCCAATAACCCCACTAGGAGCTAGGCCCATTCCAAGGCTGGTTGTCACAGGAAGTCCAGGGCTAAGGAAACATTACCTGATAGAATTTGTCTACCTTCAGGTCTTCTAGCGATGGGTATAAGACAGACATGGCGGTGTCCAATGAGTTACCTATGGAACAATAGTAAATACAACATGCTATGAGATAAAGCCAGAGAGAAAAGACAAGATCATAGAGCATTGACTGATAGTAAATATTGCCCAAGGCTCTGCTGGATAGAGGTTAGATCTGGAATAAGGAAGACCCATGAGTTCAAATCCAGCCTCAGACACTTACAAACTGCATGACACTGGACAGATCATTTAACCTCTGTTTGCCTCACTTTCCTCATCTGTAAAATGAGGATAATAATGACACCTACCTCCCAGGGTTGTTTTGAGCATAAAATGAGTTACTGTTTTGTTAAGTACTTTGCAAATCTTGAAATGCTATGTAAATAAATGTTAACTATTATTAGAGTAAAGAATACTGGGGAAAGGGTGTGGGACTAGACTGCTATCTTAAGGACTATCATTGAAAAGAGACATTTGACTTCATAGGGTTATAGATTTAGAGCTGGAAGTGAATTTAGAATATAATCTAGTCCTACACTCTGATGTTACAGATAAGGAAATTGAGACCCAGAGAGGTTTAGTGATTTGCCCAGGGTCACTTAGGTGGTTACATGTACAAGTAATAAATACCAGCTCCAGAATTTGAATCTAAGTTGTCTGACTACAAATCTGGAGCTCTTTACCCTGTTCCAAGCTCTTGCACCAACTTTATGAGCAGAACAAGGAGCGGTAGGCAGACACGAGAGAGAACTTACTCATCTTTAGGGGATGAAACATTTTTTGAACAGCTGTTGAACTTTGTAGAGGAACTTCATATTGGGGTCATAGGGTAGATTGGATGGACCTCAGAACCAATAGTTTCTGCACCTGTCCATCCAAATCTCTTGAGATGTACTATTTTCTTATTTATTTGTTTATTTTTAGAATTTTGAATTCCAAATTGAGATGTACTGTTTTCAATAGTTACACCTCACAATAATATTTCTTCTATAATACATTAGGCTTTGTAAAGCACTTTACATTCATATCTTATTTGACCTTCACAATAACCCTGGAATGACCCAATTGCATTATCATCCCCATTTTAGAAATGAGAGAAGTTATGTGACTTGCCAGGGGTCACATAATTAATATGTATCAGAGACTAAATCTGAACCCAGACCTTCTTGAATTCAGCATTCATTGTTATCTATTACCTAGAGTCCTAGATAAGTATGCTGCAACTTCAAAGAAAAAATTCTTCATTCCTAATCTCTCATCTAAACAACAAACCCAAAACATAGCCCAGGATATTGTAGGATATGGCTACATGCCAAAGATAATGATCTCAGAAGACATCACCTCCACTGGGGTTTTGAGTAAGGGGATGAGCTGTCATCTTAAAAGGTTACATTTTTTTGGAAGTTCCTAATAAATCCTAAATGTACCGCTAGGCAAAATGCCATGGCTGTGTGACCCTGAGCAACACACTTAACCCCTATTTCCTTATCTGTAAAATGGGGACCCACCGGAGAAGGAAGCGGCAAACCACTCCAGCATCTTTGCCAAGAGAACCCTATGGACAAAGTCCACAGGTTCACGTAGAGTTAGACACAACTGAGTGCCTGAACAATCACAAACAAGACAGAATACCAAGATAGCGGCACTCAGTGATCGATGGGGACAAAGTTTATTTGCATACTAAAACTAAATGTGGGAAAGGAGCTTTGAAGTCTCAGACAAAACTGAAAATCTGTTCCTGGCTGTCTGACCCTGGGCAAGTCACTTAAACTGCCTCTCCTCCCCCAAAAAAGACTGAAAATCTGCATGCGCATCTTCGGTCTCTTCTCCAGGCTGCCTGTGGAATTTAAGCTCTGTTCTGGATTGGTTTCTTTCAGTTGTTCAACAAACACTGAATAGGTAAAATCATAGAAAAATGTCTGGATTTGGAGTTGGAGGACTTGAGTTTGAATCTTCCACCTGCTCCTCATTTCCCGTATGACTTTAAGCAAGATGCTTCAGCTCTCTGGGCCTCAGTTTCCTCATCTGTAAAACTGGGGGGAGGGGGAGAAGTCGGACTATGGCTTCTAAGGTCCCTTCTAGCACTAACCCTGCGATCTCGTGATGGTGGAGAATCACAGCAGATCCAAGACACGCTAGAACATGGAATAGCAGACCCGGCCTTAGAAACCATCTGTAGAAGAGGAAATGAGCCCAGAGGGAGGAAGTTCACTAGCAGGCAATGAGAATCTGGCTTGGCCGGGTCTCCTGTCCGATGCTCCTTCCATCACACTGCCTTCCTTATTCTTCCCGTAAAACTAGAAGGACTGAGCGGGTCAAGGAACACAAAAATGTTATTATAATTTTATTCTGAAATAAAAATGTTCATCCTATCTCTAGGTGGCACCTAGAAACAGGTGACACAGTGGATTAAGCACCCAGCCTGCAGTAAAGAAAACCCAAGTTTAAATATGTCTTCAGACACTGGTTAACTGTATGACCAAGTCACTTATCCTCACTTTCCTCATCTGTAAAATGGGGATAATAATCACTATTGATTAGAGAAATGCAAACCAAAACAACTCTGAGGTACCGCATCACACCTATCAGATTGGCTAACATGACAAAACAAGAAAATGATAAATGTTGGAGAAGATGTGGGAAAATTGGAACACTAATGCATTGTTGGTGGGGTTGTGAACTGATCCAACGATTCTGGAGAGCAATTTGGAACTATGCCCTAAGGGCTATAAAAATGTGCATACCCTTTGACCCAGCAATACCACTTCTAAGGCTGTATCCCAAAGAGATCATAAAAACAGGAAAAGGAGCCACAGGTACAAAAATATTTATAGCAGCTCTTTTTGTGGTGGCCAAGAATTGGAAATTGAGGGGATGCCCATTAATTGAGGAATGGCTGAACAAGCTGTGGTATATAAATGTGATGAAATACTATTGTGCTGTAAGAAATGATGAGCAGGTAGACTTCAGAAAAACCTGGAAAAACTTATATGGACTGATGCTGAGTGAAATGAGTAGAATCAGGAGAACGTTGTACACAGTAACAGCCACGTTGTGCCACGACCGACTTTGATAGACTTGGCTCTTCACAACAATGCAAGGACCTAAGACATCTCCAAAGGTCTCACAGTGGAAAACGCTATCCACTTCCGGAGAAAGAACTATGGAGTCTAAATGCAGATGGAAGCATACGATTTGTTCTCCTTTTCTTTTGTTGTTTTGTTTTGTCTCTTCTTTCTCGTGGTTGCACCCATTAGTTGTAATTCTTCTTTATATCATGACTAATGTGAAAATGTATTTAATAGGAATGTATATGTAGAGCCTATATCGGATTGCACGTCATCTTGGGGAGGGAGGTGAGGAGGGAGGGGGAGAAAATTTAAAACTCAAAATCTTATGGAAGTGAATGTGGAAAATTAAAAATAAATAAATTAATTTTTCTTTAAAAATGGGGATAATAAAAGCACCTACCTCACAGAGTTGATGTGAGGATCAAATTGTAATTTGTAAATAGATAATTGTAAAGCATTTAGTACAGAGTAAGAGCAATGTAAATGTTAGCTATTATTATTATTAAATGAGATAATAATGGTAAAGTGTTTAGAATGGTACCTGGCACATAGCAAGCACTGTATGTTAGTTATCATTATTATTAAAATTAGACTTTTGCAAAGTGCTTAGCACAGTGCTTAATAAATGCATATTTCCTTTCTTCCTTTGTTTGCCTTATGGATAAAAAAAAAATGCACTGCACTAATTGACCCAGCTTGATCCTTTAAGGTATTCTTAAATTCCAGTCTTTCTATTAATTTTATTGAATATGAGACATTGGTCAGATCTTTCTTTAAGCAGCAATAATTGTCACTGTCACATGAGTTACGTGGAACATGCCCCAGAGTACTCAGAGTTTGGAGCTGTGACCACTAAGCAAGACTTTTGCTTTCCCTTGGCTCACCTACAGGATCAAAGGGGAAAACAAAACCCAAAGATAAAAGACCTGGGGAGGGGGGGAAAGGAGGGGGGAGGCTGCCTTTGATTTTCTAAAGGGAAAACAGGTGATGGTTATACTTTAAACTGGTTGCCCCTCTCTGAGAGTCAAAGGTGAGAAGACATGGGTGGGACCAGAAATTCTGCTTCTTTTTAAACTCTCTGAAAGTCCTAGAATAATAGATTGGGAAGAGATCATAGAGTTCCTCTAGTCTCCAGCCCAAAACACTGTTCTACCTGGCTAAGGATATGATGCCCAAGTCAGTTCTCCTATACCATGGTTTCCCCCCCCTATAATCAATCAATATGACACAAATCAGACACCTACCATATTCTCGGCACTATGAACTCTGGTTCTACAGAACTGAATAACATAGAACTGGTTATATAGAACTGAGTACAAATTTCACAGAACAAATCCCCTTAATAAAAGGATTTGTTCTGTAAAACTTGGACTCAGTCAAAAGACTGAACCCAAGGACCTAGAAAGCCACATGTGACTTTGAAACCGAAGGGGTGGGCCAGATGTCCTTGAAGTACCAAGCACTCTGGACCCTGTGTGTGTAGTAGGGTGGAAGAGAGGGACTGGAACTATGTAAATAGGGAATTCTCAGATAAGCAAGCTTTCCACTAATGTAGGTCAGTACCTACTCTGCAATATATGCTCATCAAGAGTTGTCTAGACACCGACCTAGAGGTCAAGTGACTTGACCGGAAACATTGACTCGTATTCCTATGTTGTTCAGTCATGTCCAACTCTTTGTGACCCCCACCCCAGGACTGCACAAGAATCCCTTCTATAACTTAGACCAGTCATCTAGCCATTCAGAGGCAGATGGGAGTCAGGAAGACTTGAGTTCAAATCCAGCCTCAGACACTTACTAGCTAAGTCAATTCATAACCTTACCCCCTATTCCTAAGTCTTCTTATACCTTACACTTCTTCCCTGCCATATATTCTCTGATCCAGTGATACTAACTGTTTTCTGAACAAGATACTCTGTCTCTTAGCTCCAGGAATTTTCTCTGGAAATTCCCCATTCCTGAAATATTCTCCCTCCCCATCTCTGC